ATTATTTCTTTTGAATCAAACGAACAACGTCATCAGAATAGATCGCACATATATATACGCAGGAAATACAATAAATAAAACCAAATAGATTATTGATGGCTTTGTGTTTTGTTTGTCTAAGCATTTTACCAATTCTTTCTCTCTCTGTCTCTCTTTCTCTTGTTCTTTTGGAAAACTTCCAGTCATTTATGAAAATATATATATATATTGTTATTAATAGTTGTACCTAAAACAATTATTTCGGTGAAAAACACCTGAATATGTATTTCTTTCGATTTAAAAATAAACCACGTTCTCAACACCGACATTCTTCAACAACTGATCAAAGAGGCTCAATTGTAATCAATGGCCAACGTTCTCATGCGTCAACAATACTACCTATACAACCGCCGCAATTCAAAAGTACTATCTGGCAATTATTACCTTTTACTAAAAGAGTGAGTAATGTTTATATGTATATAATCAAGTTGTGCGAGAAGTATTTAACGAAATCGATATAGAATTTTTGGTTTTGACTATTTTGTGAAGCCTTTTGTTATCATGTTTTTTTTACAACTTTGTAATTTCATCAAAATATGTGCTATTTTGAATAGTTTTTATCAACATCAAATAGAACAATGTTTCGAAACATTTTTATAAGTTCATATCTTGATAAGAATCAAAATCTGAATGAAAGTATTACATTGTTTTGAGTACTAGTTCCTACTGATATTAACATTATATACTTTGATAAAAATTATAGTTATAGATTCAAAATAAGAATTCTATATGAATATGATAATTTATTCGTCAACTGTATTGACTTAATATGTGTATTTGAATCTAATATCTGATATTTAGATTATATCGATTTTTCTCTACGATCAAATGTAGAAAGAAAACAAGACAGAAAATCTTGTATATATCTGATATAATGTGTGAATGATCAATTACTTAAATAAATGTATAAGAAAAAAAGATATGTAATAAATGACTCAGGAAATATAGAAAATATTAGAGAACAAACAAAACAAAAAAAATACATATGATTGTACTTTATTATTGTTGTTTTTGCCTTTAAGAAAAGATCTTTTGTTATCGATCATTAGTTGATCTTAGTCTATTTTTCAATGTATCCATATTCATGGAAATTATTCTCATGGAAAAATTAGTCGAACATATCAAGAGCCTATTATTAAAAATAAAAGACATAAGAAATTTTTACCATTTTAGTGAACGGTTTAGTTTTATTTTAAATCAAATTGAACAATCGACAAGAAAAGATAATAATGATATTGATCAATTTTCATCTCAACAATTACAGATATAATAAATATTTCTATATATTCTTTTGGGAAAAATGTGTTTTGATTACCAAAAAGTTGAGTTTTGATCGCCAAAATTGTGTAGCTGCGAAATGATCACCAAAAAATGAGTGTTTTGATCACCAAATTTTTTTACTGCGAAATGATCACCAAAAAATTAGTGATTTGATCACCGAAAAATTAGTGATTTGATCACCAAATCAATCAAGAGTTGAGCCAATTAAAATGGAAAAAAATATTCCCATAAGTGAAACTCAACTTCTCTAATCGTTCGCGATTAAGATGAACTTATTAGCTGGTAGTAATGATGAATTTCAATATTATCATGGGACGTAACAAAAAAAGAAATCTTGAAGTGAGGCTGAGGATGATGGGAGAGGGTGAGAGTGTGGTTGTGAGTGTGGGCAAGCCCCGCGCGAGCGGGGGGTGTACACTCCCCAATAATCAAAATGTTTCAGTTTTTTTCCAGTTAAAAGAGCAAAATTTGACTACTTTTTACGCTTTTTAGAGGTTGTTTTGCAAACATCTCTCTACACGCGCCCCCCCCCCCCCAATCCTTGACCCTTCGCGCGAGCCCTGGATGTGGATGAGCTCTGGGTCTGAAGATTGGTGCGATGTGGATAAGATTTAGAATAAGAGAATTATGCTTTCTGTTATAATATTTCCTTTGATTAACGGGATGCATACAGGGAGATGCTGTAGTCGTTGATGATATGGCATTGATTTGATTGAATATTTTTTCTTCTTTTATCTTTTTGATTTTGCCGCCTATAATTAATTTGGTGATCAAATCACTAATTTTTTGGTGATCATTTAACAGTAAAAAAATTTGGTGATCAAAACTCAACTTTTTGGTGATCAAAAAAATGCTCACCCTATTCTTTTTATTTGACAGATAAATATTCATGTAACACACTTGTATAAGACTACGTTCTTTTTCTTTTTTTTTTTATTTATTTTCTTCACATTTTATGATTAATGATTGATGGAATGTGTCACTATTCTTTAACTTCCTGTTCTTTTGACAAAAAAAGAAAGACGTAATAAAACAAAAGCTTTCTGTTAAATAGAATCAAAAGAAAAGAAAAAATAAGACAATATTTCAAGGTTTTATTAACGTTATATAAATAAGTATTACATAAAATTTTTCAAAGCATATTTGTTCATGAATCTATATCATTAGCGTTACCATCAGTAATATTTCAAATAAGATAAATTAGATGTTGCTAAAATTATTGATGTTTAATCATTTAAAACTTTTAATTATTCTCACCAAAAGGAAGAAAAAAAAGAATAGCCTTGTCATTTTTAGAGATATCTTTCTATCGAAGGAAGTGTCTAGTGGCAGATTCAATAGCTTCATAGAATTCCATACATACTAACTAATTATTAGAGCAGTTGTATATCACAACGTAGTCAGCATTGTATCGGACGAATAATGATCCGAGATAAACAGTTATTTGTGACTGGTTTATAATTATTCCATAGTTTGTAATATTGAGCTTTGAATCCAGTAAATTGTAGATATATGTCGAACAACATAGCCCTTTGCCCATAGCGGTTATTGTAATAAAGTATTGTATGCATAAATATTTTTGCTCTTTGTCATTACAAAATCTTTTCAGTGCAAACCCTTTAGGACTAAAATATGGAATCCATATGTGTTCTTTAACATTATTGTATTAATACAAAATACATTAAGTAAAAACCCTCTAGCAAACTATAGTTGTTGTCCATGAATAGTTGGTTTATTCAGAAAACAATCTGTCTTATTAATTTCTGCATTTCAAATAGAATTTCTTATGTTTTTTTTATTGATCTTGTTGTTTTTTATTTTCCACTTTTCTTAATTTTAACATAATTATTAGTATTCTAACAATTGATTCAATTGATAAATAAGTCTGTTATACATATCCATCAGATTTATATCAGATGTCAAAATAATATTATTATATATTTTGATAAACTCAGAAACACTAATATCGATTATATTCCAAATTTATAACTTGATCAATTGACTTTTTTTCCATGTTGATCATATAACAACTGTGACAAATTAATGTATTTCTATCCATTATTTCTGACATCTTGAATATAAATTTTTATGTGCGAAAAGAAAAATTGTACTTATTAAACCATTTCAAATTTCAAGAAAGACTATAGAATTTTCTAGAGTAGCAAAAATTTTATTGCTAAGAATCCTGTTGTGCTCGGTTACTATGGAAACGTACCCAATGATCATTGATCTTTCTCTCCTCATTCCCTACTCCCTACACTGCTATGAAGCGAGAAAAACTACAAAATTTCGACTTAAACGTTACACTCATTATATTTTTTTTTTTCGAAAAACATTTTGAAAGCTTCATGAAAGAGTTTTTGTAAAACAACAAATATGTACAACTTATCCTTTCGAACTTAACTATCATCAGTTATAATATATACATATTAATCTATTTCTTTTGCTATAATTATATATATATACATAAACAGAAAAACAGAACTGATTTGATGATATATGTAGCTATCTTATTTGAAAGACTAGCCGTATCAACAAATCATCAATATTCATTGAGGAAGATTTACAAGGGGGGGTAGAGCTGAATTTAGATTTTTTCTTAATGAAAAAATCGAGAACAAAAACTTGATTTTCTTTTAATTAACTTGAAATTAAAAAAAAGTCATTCTAACCAAAAACTTCAGAAAAATCAAAATAATTGAAAATATTATTGTAACTATTATGATAGATATCATTCTCTAAATAAACGATTCATCTTCTTTTAATAATCAAATTCTACTCACAAACTTAAATTATAAGCAAAAAAAAAAAAAAAACATTACTTGTAATCAAAGTACTAAACGTTCCCAAAAAACCAGACGTTATTCGAACGGATGATTCTTTTTTCATATAAAAGTCATAAAAATATATAAAAAAGAAAAACAGCTATTTCTCTGCTGGAAATTCCTCATAAGTAATTCTTTAGTAAAAATGAATTATTTATATCTGATGGAAGAATAGCCTAATTACATTGAGTATAATGTGACAAAAGGTTTAATTCACAACATCCAAATGTTGTCTTTTTTTATATTGATTATATAAATCATTATGCTTATGACAATTGACTCTTATGCGTTATAAAGAATAATATACTAGTAAATATATAAATAGTTTTGACGCATACTACTAACGACTATGATACTTTTGTCGTCTTCTTCTTTTTTTTGGTATGATAACAACACTCAATGTCTATTCGCATGTTTGCTGCCGATAATAGATTTTCATAGTCAATAGTACTCCACATATAATCTTCACAGCAGTGAGCACGTACGCACGTCATCCGAAAAAAAAGGTCGTTGCTTCTCGTCGATCAATAAGTATATAACATGTATAAAAAAAAAAAGAGCATATTCATCCTATGGCTTGATTTTCTAAAGATGTTCTTTACATTCTTTTTTATCTGTCTTATCTTTGATACGCCTATTTTGATAAAAAAAAAAAAAGAAGAAAGCGTATTCTAGAAAGGAAATGACAATAGTACTTGCGATTAATTGACGCATATACAGTCTTGAATCGGTCTATTTTGTTTTTCATCTTTCATCGTTTGTTATTCTTTGCTCAAGCGACAATCGATAGCATATATATCTTCTTCATACATATATATATATATTCAATAAGATTGAAATAGAACACTGACAAAAATGTTTCATATATTCCATTGGCGACGTCAACGTCATCCTGAAAATACGACACCGACAGATCTTACAACAAATCAAGAACATAAAGACTCTCATTCACGACATCATCGATTACGTCTCTATCATGGAAAACAGCCCTTTGAACATTTATTTCATGTGAGAAGACATCGATCATCTTCCGATCATGATAAACGACAGGTAATTTAAAAGAAAATTTATAATCATTCATGATGTTTTTCTTTTGTGTGTAAATATTTATACTTTTATCGGGTAACAAAAAAAAGGACGTTCAATAATTAGTATGAAAGATTGCTTATGTGTATAAGTTAAAGAAAAAAAAAACGTAGAGTTTATGAGCGTCGTCACTTGAATCTACCATGGATAAAAATGCTAGAAGATATTTAATGTAATGTTTACAATATTAAAACACAAATATTATGGCATTAGTTACTACTCGTCTTATACAACCTAAGGCGGATAAAAAGGTATTTGTCGTTAATGTTGTTCTAAATTGTTTATTTATTAAACTTGTTAATATAAAAGAAGATAAATAAAGAAAAATATTGTTCTATAAATATATATATCATATGACATGAATTTTGTTGTTCCTAATTGTTCTATTAAACGATAATATATAATTATGATTTATTTAAAAGGATAATAGTTGAAAGAGTGAATCAAAAAAGTTTGATTGATTTGAATTATTCTTTTGTTTTTTTTTTGGATATTAAAACCTAAATGCGATTTTATTAGTTTAGAAAGAAGAATACGAAAATTTGTATGTGTTGGTCATTATTCTTATACTAAATATTTCTATAAATATTTGAATAGACTAAATTATTTTTCAAAAAAAACAATCTTACATATTAATTACGAACAAAAATGTAAATTAATAAGTAATAGAAATATTTGTCATCGTTATTATTAAATACTAGTTAAGAATATTTTTGTTTCGATGAATTGTTCAATATGATAACATTATGTTTAATATTTATGTATAAGAATGTCTTCATAAAACTAGAAAATTCAATAATAATTTCGATAGATATTTGTGTTTATGTATTTATTATTGACAACTGAAGGGCAATCTAATTGTGTTAGAATAATCTTAGGAATGGAAAAAAGAAAATTTTTATGTTTTTTTCTTTTTTTCAAGAACTGATTATATCTATTCAAAACAAAAAACAAAAAAACAAGAAAATATTTATCTTTTATTTAATTATTTTATTTATTTAAAATAGATATTTAAGTTTGAAATTACCTTTTTTTTTTTTTCTTTCTTCTATTTATTTTAATGTAAATACATTAATACATCATTTTCTCAATTTATTATATAACCGGATACATATACAGGAAATAAAATGAATTGCAATGTGTTGTAACATACAAGTTATCAATATTTATTTATATTTATTTTTTTGACTACTTCTATTATTCGTTGTCTTTTCTCATTTACTCGATGTCATTTTATGATAAACTACTACGACTGTAGAGTAGAGAACAAAAAAAAAAAAATAACATATTTCTACTATTATTATTGTATGCTATTTCATTGATAAGATGATCCATTGTAGTCGTTCTTGTCATCATTGTCGATTGAGTTGCTCAATAAACGAACATATTTATTTTCTCAACTTGCCTACTCAATTTTAACATGGATCATATTATTCTAACCACAATGGCATTCCATTCCTTATATTTTTATTCTCTTATTTAGTAACAGTAGGTTACTAAATAAGAATTTGCATGTGGTATTGTTGTTGTATAATTTCGAAGAGCAACAAAATCTTCTACGTACACAATTGGCATTCACTTATTTACTCTATTATTTAGTGCACAAATATTTCTTTCATTGTCTTTCTCTCTCTCTCACTCACTCTATATATATATACATATAACTTTCTTTTTTTCTTCTTAAACTAAATAACCGATTTATTCTGTTTCATCCATTATTGCTAATTTTATTAAATCTTTGCGTTGTCCTTTCTTCCCGAAGCACTTACTTATTGAGAAGCTCAAACAGCTCAACACGATACCAATATATATATATATATATATAAATAGTTCAAATGGCTATTTAACAACGACAACGATTGAACGAGCGAACGCATGAAAAATCATTACTAAGCAAATTGTGAACAAAAAAGAAGAAGAAAAAATTGAGAAGACAACAGCAGACACTAGCCGAATGATGGAATGATGGTTGTTGAAAATCGAGAAGAAATGTCACTTACTCAATAATAATAATAATAATAATAATACCAACAGCAAGATTTTACGTTTTATATATATATCGTGTTACAAATCAATTCATCTAAGTTTAAATATAATGAGTCTTATTACATATAAATAACATCATGCTGCTCGGTCATCATCGTGCTAAACGACAACATCAGAAAAAAGTAAGAGTCTAAATATTTCTAACAATCAATTAATTGATTAAATAGTAACTAAATTGTTGTGTATAATTATAAATGAAGTGAATGTTAAGAATTATATCTTTGATTACCAAACACTATTAATCATGTCAAATACTTCTTTAGGGAGGGAATAGAAGAAAAAAACATTATCAATTGAGTTCGTGTATGTTGTCTTAATGATTTTCTTTTTTTCCTTTATTATTATTATTATTATTATGTTCTTCCTTATAATTGCGTGTATTTCATGAGTTCCATTTGACAGAAAAGGTATGGTTAAATATAACGGAAATGAATTCCCATCAATTCGAAATATTATTATTATACTTGCTCAAATAATCTTGTTGATTTTCTACTGTTTATTGTCTTAAAATATAAATAAAATTTGATTTTTATTTTACAATATATAACATACATATTATCAAAAAATATTATTATTATTATTCTAAAATTAACAACTTATCATATATATATTCATCTCAATTGCTTAAATAAAAAAAAAACAAAGAAAAGAAAAAGAATCAAATTTACGTAAATATCGAATGATTGTTTTGTTGAAATTTCATGTATCACAGTGAATTATATGACTTGATTATTCATAATGACAAATCGTTGCCATCGGTCGTTTGATATATATATATATATATATATATATATGTCTCTGCAATGACTTTTTTTAGCGTATCGTTTTTGGTTCTAATACTCGCTCCATCAGGCGAAAAATATACTTATCTTATTGCGTTATCCATGAAAGAATTACTCGTAGAATATATTTCTCTTCTTTTTTTTTCTTTTTTTTTTTATATGTCTTTACATGCTTTCTCTACAGCTGATCTCTATGCGTCAATGCTTATCTCAATCATTTTCTTGCACTAGATCAAATATAATCAATAGCCTTTGGCCCATCACAATACTTATTACTTATTCAGATGAATTATTTCTTTTTTTTTTGTTTTAACAACAAGTACAAACACAAGGGAAAAGAAAAGGATAAATGTAGCTAATTCTATAGGTTATTCAATCATTGTTAATTGCTTTTCTAATAAGCTCTTTTAAGTTATATTGACTATAATAAGGTCTATGAGTTTGTGTGCGCATGCATGTGTATCTATCGATATGTATTTGATATTTTTTGTCACTTTCGACAGTAACGAGTATGACAGTTAAATCAAAAAAAAATGAGACAAAAGATAAAAAGGAAACAAATATTTATATAAAAAGTCATACAAAAAAAAAAGGAGCATTTCTACTGATCAATTTCTTGATTGTAAAACTAGATTTATTTGTATAGTCAACATAGTAGGAATTTCTCATTTTGACTTCAAACCAAAACGACAGGAGAATCCAATTGAGTATGCATCTGTCTACAAGTTTGATATATCATCATCTTATCCGACGGCCGTCACCATGGAGGACGACGACGACTCAATGTTGTTCCCTCCTATCTCTTACCCTTCATCTCTCTATCTCTCCCTTTTCTTCTTCCCTTCGTTTTCTTCATTTTTTGCTGTGTCTTGGTCGTTGTCTCAACAGAATAATCATTGGGTGTAGTACGACAACGTCCCTATTCGTGCCGAAAACAACAACTTGTGAGCTAGAGACTCAACATATATATATAACAGTAGAACAGGAATAGAAGTATGATTACCGTCGCCCATTGCAATGATTGCCACGAGGCTACATGCAAAGCGACTTTCGGTTTCACCGCTCAAAAACTCAAGTACAACCAGTATTCATAATATATCTGCTCATCATATTCATCAACAAAGACGTTACACAATCAATCGACCTGCAGAGGATATTCGAAATATTGATAGTGATAATGATGATGATGGCGACGATGATGACGACGACAAAGTTCATGAGAGGACTAAGGTAGAAAATGTTTCTTAAACTCGTTCGATTATGAATTGTTAGAAATTCAAATATTTTGCTTTTTTTTTGGCCAATATAAGATAAAAATAAGCGCATTTGAAACGAATTAGCTTTTTCAACATTTCTATCTATTGAATCATTTTTCTTAATATTAGAATAATGATAGAATTGATAGGAGGCATTCGACAGTATTATTTATATTTATATCTATTATATTTACACATACGCTTTATCTTAAAAAAGTTTCCATGAATCAGATATTCATATTTGTTCGCATAGTGTCATACCTAATCCACTTACGAAGACAGTTGTCTTATATGCAATAAATGTCGTCAATACAACTCGAATTGATGACAGATGGAATGCAGTCAACGATGAGAGTCGTACAAACTTATGTACATAAGAATAATAAACAAATAATGATAATATGAAATGACGATTAAACAGAGAAAAGAATTATAAAATAAAAAAGACGAGAGCAATAAAAGAACAACACTTGTATATTGTTTATCAAATCAAAGTTCTTATATGTTCGTTTGTATATGATCACCTGTTATTATTTTCCCTAGTCGAACTATAAAGTGATGTATATTTATGTAACCTTTTCTTCTAAGTAGTATTATCATACATATATATATAATACATTGGTAAAAATGTAACTGCTGTCAGTGATAAAGAAGAAAGTATTTCATGTTCATTATTTTTTTTTTTCGAAATATTCGAGTTGAATAGAAAAATATGCGTTTTACTTTTAATCTATGCAAAAAAACACATCAACAATCTTTTCAATCAAAAATAAATTTATCATTACCAGATTCTCGTATTTCTTCTAATCGTGGTTATGTATCTTTATCTGATCTTACAACGGAAACATCTTATATTTATTCAACTAAACATCAGTCACAATCGAATAATGATATTCATGTGACTTATTTCTATGATATTTATTCATTTTTTTTTGTTATTTTAGTTTTCTAATTTATTAATTCTAGTTCAAAGTTACTAGTCGATCTGCTGATACAGCACATGTACGTCCAACTCAAGCAAAATATGATCGTATGCAAGCACCCATTTTATCATTTGATGAAGAAGGAGACATTCCAGTACCAACAACTAAACATAAACGTATGTTTTATTATATTCTAATACAAAAAAAAAATGAATTTTATCATTTATATTATAGGTTTTCTTTCTCCTACTCATGCACCTCTTACTGATTCTCATGATAATATTTCAGGATCAAAATCAGGTGGTGATAGTGCATCACTTGAACAAACAAGAAAAGCAAAATTTCGACATGCACTACGTTCCGTATCGAAAGTTGCTTTTAGTCAACTTGGTTTAGGTACGTCACTTTTACGACTAAAAAATACTATAGTTAAGGAATATTATAGCAATTTTAAGCGATATAACTAAATATTAAAACTCAATATCTCTCCAAACTAACTTCTATTAAAATTTGTTTAAAATTACTTCAATAGAGTTTTGTTTCGTCTTCAATCGTGTATAATTAATAATATTTGAGACTTCTGAAAGAAAATACGGACATGTGCAAAATCTTTAAGATTCAAGGGTGAAAAATCCTTTTTTTTGCTACCTCAGAAATTTTACATACGTCAACTTTGACCATGATGCACAACAATTTACAGAAAAATTAATTGACATACTTATAAAGCTTAGTGACATATATTTGTTGAGAAAGTTGCACAATTGATTGACTTTGCCTTCAGAAATAGTATTCGAGAATTTAAAATATTATTAAAAAAAAACTAGAAGTTACAGAAGCTAATCGAAATGCTATAATTTTTTGATACAAAATAAAAAAAACTATTGTAAGTATTATTAGATATACACGATTCTATTGAAGTAACTTTAAACAAATTCGTTTGGAAACATACTGAGTCCTATTATTTACTCATATCATCTACAATTGCTATCATATCCTTCAAATGGTGTATGGTTTCTTAGAACACAAAAAAGTTGATGAAAAAGCGATGTCTTAGATACTATTTGATATGTCACGTGTTGCGATACAAAACGATATAAATAGTTATTCAAATGAAGGCTAGTTATCTTATCCGACAGGGTCTTTCTATTTTGAAGTTTAATAAGTCCGAAGTACTACTGCAAACATTGATTAATTTGCTATTATATAATTCAGTTGGCAGTTAAAAGATCAAAAAGACGAATGTGGAAAGGAATGCTTTATTATATGGGATAATACAAACATTCTAATGAAGATTAAATCTAAGTCAATAGATAAATAAGACAACAATAACTATCTAAGTATTCTATAACAATTATAACATCGTCATAATATCGTTACTATATAGTACAATTATAAGAAAAAAACAATAATGAACTATAGGTGCTCTAATATCTACAAATTTTTATTTCTTTTAAAAAAAACTGAAAGATGAAATAAAAATTTTTTTCCGAGTTGTATTTATCAAAGAACAACATAAAAAAAAATTTTTTTATAAAATACATTAGTCTTTCAAATTGGTTTCAAGGTCTCAGTTTTACTCTATATGAAATACTTTAAGACGATAGAATTTATTCATTTACAGAAGTCATATGTATGTCTACAACGAATGTTTAAACAAATTACATATATTTATAAACGATGTACCTCACAGTTTTCACTATATTCAGTTTGAAATAACGGCTATGTTAATGAAAAGAGAGATCATCGTAGACAGATTAGATTGAAAAATATTCGTATGCTATGTCATATGAAGTGAAAGTAATGAATTTCATTCTGGTACGATATACTAAAAAAAAACAAAATTTGTTTTCAAATTGAAAAATTTTATAACAATCGATTAGAAAAGATTGAATAATATCTCGAATTGCACAAGATACTTAATGGTATCATTCAATTTTATCAGGTTAAAATTACTTGTATAATCAAAAGAGAGAAAATAATCATAAGTAGTACTCTTCGATATATAAAGCTATAAATAATCATAAACAATTATTTTTCTTTTACTAAAAAAATAAATTTTCTAAATAACATAAAATTTGAATTTAATTTATATCCGTTGTTTTTAGGTGGTCTTGTTGTTGGTTATGTTATTCTTGGTGGATTAATATTTGATGCAATTGAATCACGTTATGAATTAGAACGATTAGAAGAAAAAGAACGTAATCGACAACATTTTGTTGATCAATTATATAATCATGCATATAGAGAATTTAATCGTGTTTTAAATCAAACATTTGAATTAAAATATGCATTATGGCGTGGTGGTTTATCACGTCATGATGAACGTAATGAAGGATGGCAAATTGATGTTGAAAAAGATTTATGGAAACATCATATTGATTATGAATTATTACAATATTTTGGTGCCGAAGAAAAAAATCAATATGGTGTTGAACAACAACAAGAACAAAATACTGTACAAGTTTGGACATTTGCTAGTGCTATGCTTTATTCAGCAACTGTTATTACAACTATTGGTTATGGAAATATAACACCGAAAACAACAGAAGGAAAAATTGCAACAATGGTAAAATAAAATTGTCTATTTCTCTGATAAGAATTGATAATGAAAGATATATAGAACTTTTTAATGTCTTCGAATGAGTTCTTGATAAATATATGTAAGATGATTCCGGTCTCAATGGAATTTGACACTCATTAATTTTTGTTTTTGATCGGAACCACTAATTTTTCATTGAGAACGATATATGGCCAATCCTGTTGGAGCTCTAGTTCTTTATAATTATCAAAGCTAAAAACAATTGTTAATTGAAATAACAAGAATTTAAAAAAAAACCTTGTTATACAGAGTGTTTATCTGTAGGACTTCTAGACTCTTGAAGTTTTTCTATTCGAGAAAATTCTACTCATGTCATTCATTAAAACCAAATGATTGCATTGTTCTACTAATAATATATGAATAGAAGGAAAACTAAACTGAAATGAATAGGCATTCTCTTATTATTTTTTTCCTTTTATCATCTTCTGAAAAGGGGTTTGAATATTACTTTTATATATAGATATATGCTATGATTGGTATTCCTTTAATGTTTATGTGTTTAACATATACGGGTGATTTATTAGCTGATGCATTTATATCAGGTTATTCAAAAATGGTTAATTTTTTATATCGACAAATATGTCGTGGTCGTTTAAAAAATTGTTTACCTGATGATACAAGACGAAGTTTTGAACAACCTGATGTAAGAATAGTTATTTTAACAATCGAATTTATATTTCTTTATTTTGTTATTCAGTCCGATGTTGAAGAAAGTCGACATGTACCTATTGTTGCAACATTAGCTGTACTTGCACTTTATATAGCAATGGGTGCATTACTTTTTGCTCAATGGGAAAATTGGCATGTACTTGATGGAGCTTATTTTTGTTTTATAACATTTACAACAATTGGTTTTGGTGATCTTGTACCAGGTAAAGGTACAGTAACAGAATCTAAAGCAGGTAAAGCAGCAATGTGTGCATTATTTCTTTTGTTTGGTATGATTGTTATGGCAATGTCATTTAAATTAATGCAAGATGAAATTCTAGCAAAATTTCGTCGATTTGCTCGACGTTTTGGTTTTGGTAAACGAAATATAAATGATCCGGGATGAGAAATAATTCATAACAATCAAAAGAAATATAATTTATCATTTAGGTGAATTTTTTTTTGTTCTTTTTGCTCATCTGTGATTCTTTATGCATGTTTCGTTTTCTTTTTTCATGTATCGTTTGTGTTTGAAATAATTTCTTTTTCTTTTTTTTTCTTTTCAACATTGAAAGTCAAATAGTGTCATTATCACCATCACTTTCATATGTTCGTCTTTTCTTTTTCTTTTTCACGTTTGTGCTCTCTTTTTAAAACTGATATAACAAGTAGAAATTTTAGACAGTTTGAAATATATATTTGTACATATTATTATAAATTCTATGTTTATGTTTTATTTATTTGACAAGGTTTTCATTTTAATAAGTTTACTATTAATATGATCAAACATTTACAAATAATTGATAAAAGAAAGAAAAAAAAACAGAATAATAATAAAAACTAGTCTATAGATTCAATTGCAATTAAAAAGCACAAAAAACACACACACATATACATACACTTTTTCATCGTATAATTATTTCTATTTATAACTACAAAAGACACAAGATAATTATTTTTACAGGTAGAAAACGAAAATGTCTAAAAACAAATAAATGTACAATACAATAACAATACTGAATTGATTTGTTTCGATTAATCATAATTGTAATCGATCACTCAAACCTAACAATCACAAAGTATAATATTCATAATGGTGTTGATTAACATATTTAATATATCCGATATCATTTTTTTTTTCTATTGCAAAAAAAAAGAAAAGAAAATTAATTTCTACTATTCAAACAGCTATCCAATATCGATACAGACCTTGGACCTACAATAGCTTTTTTTTTTGTACTAATAGTCTTAGATTTTTAATTGTCCAATATTGAATAACCATAGCTAAAACAAAATTATCAAGACAAACCATGGTTCAATCCATATATATATAAGAAAAGCATTTGTCACGCAATAGTTCTATTCTATTCAATAAACTATTAGTAATTATATTTGTCATAATTTAGATTCTTATTTCATTAAATATAAATTTTCATTTTTAAAAAAGTAAATCATTGAATTTAATTCTATGTATTGAACATGTTTTTTTCTTTAATATTCAATATTCTAGATAAAATGATTTTCTTTTTTTATCACCTTTTTACATTTATTTTTATCTATATAAGTGTTCTTAACTGATGAGGTATTAATCGTTTGACATATATATATATATGTTCATTAAATATGACTTTGATTACTACATTTTCATTTGTTGTTATTGTTAGCTGTCTAAATCGATGTCGATTACTTGAAGGCAATTATGCACTCAGCCGTTCATCATACAATCATTTCTGTCTCGTTCCGTTCTTTTTTTTTTTTTCTTCTCTTGGTGGTAGAATCTGTTTGTATGTTTGCTTACCCCTTTCGTCTAACTCTCTATCTAACATAGGCATATACAAGTTTCGGATGACCTTTGAATGCGAGAGTATATATGTACACGTGTATATTGAACATCAGCTTGATGTGACACACAAATATGGTCTAACGAGAGAGAAGAGAAATATTTCCTTCTGTCTCTCTTGTATTCTTGTAGATGTCGAGATAAGAGAGAACAGAAGAAAAATGAGAAAGGAACATGCATATCCCTCTTTCAAGCGCTTTTAATTTGACACATATGGACAATGAGTAGTAGTAGAGGTAGTAGAAGAATTTTTTTTTTTTTTTTTTTTGTGTAAGATTATATCTGTTTAATCTGATGATAAACTCTCAATGGTATGTTAGGAAAAAAAAAGTCAAGCTATAAACAAATATATATATATATTCTTTTCGTTTTGATTGAAACATACCATCCTTGCCAATCCTTCATATCTTATTCACTCATCAAAATCCCTGAAAGGTGCTGAACGTTCGAAAAAGTCCTTGTCTTGTTTCATTTTCTAGATGCATAATGGGGACGAACCTATACATATATATATTATATCTATATATATGTATATATACGTGTGTGCAGCAGTGTCATGCATCATCAACAATCAACAGAATGTGGTATACATGTATATGACAATGAAACTTTCATACCATTGTCACATAATGAATGAAATAAAGTAAAATGAATAATGAAAAGTGCGACAGACAAGATGTTTAAACGTGCTTACAAATCTTTTATATAGATCAGACGGACAACTAGACATAATAAAAGAAAGAGAAAAAAAATTATTTGTCTGTCTGTGCTGGTCGTTTATTTGATTTTCTTTTTTTTCTTTTCTCTATTTCTCACTCATTTTTGTTGAATGTCAAAATAAGAGAATAGAATATAGTGGACAGAGGTCGAAAGGAATACAGAATGATGATGATTTATGATGTACCATTGACCGTAGCCAGTCGTTATATATCATCATTGCCCTTGAAAAAGAAAGAAAAGCAAGTACTTGGTACGGCATTGAAAGAGCATCAGACGCCTGCTTATGTATGTATGCATGTGTGTATGTGTGTGTGTGTACATATGTATATGTGTTTTTCTTTCCGATCATCTCAAGTTTCTTCGATATATAAATGCACAAATACAAATGAAAATTTCTTTCTAGTTTATGGTCTTTTTTTTTTTCATTTTCTTCTATTTGAATTAGAAATGTCCGTATGCTGTAATAACAAATTGTCATTCTTTTGAGTTCTTTTCGTACGTAAGCATATACACCCACATAGGCAAAGAAATCAATCGGGCATCATTGGTGATTTACATTTCGATGGTAGAATAAGTGTCCCTTGAATTTTTTTTTTCTCTCTTCATATTACTAATAAATCGAATACATCGTTGTCTATGAAGCATACATATATGTATATTCGATCATACGCACAATCACATACTATACACAAAAAAACCCTAACCGAAGAAGAACGTTAATGATGACGTTGATTTTTATCATAAATAGATGTATATATATATAGAGCGTAGTGAACATTTTTGTTATACATCTCATTGCTCGTTTGGCTAGAGAAGAAGAAGAAGAAAAAAAAAGAATAGGTCTCCTTTCTCTCTGTATGTATAACCTACATATAAATAAATTTGCATAAAGTTTCGTTGTCGTTCTTTTTTCTTGTCTTATTCAGTATGGTCGATGATGATTATGATGATGATGATTGAGCTAGTGTTAGTATGTTGAAATTATTATATATATGTATAGCAGATTAAAGATCCGCCCTCAATCTTTCTCATCTTTTCAAATTAAGCTTTTATATCCTTGAACATAAATGATATACCTATTCGATGTGTTTTATTTTCTTCTTTCTTATATGTCTTTCTTTTTTTTTTTTTGTTGATATGTTCAGATGGATGATCACTATATGATGACGTTATATATAATCATCAAAAAAAAAAAAAAAAAAAAAAAAAAAAAACCATGTCAACATTTCAACATAATCAATTCAATGGTTTTTCACCAATACTTTTATCACCATCTTCAACAAGCAATACAACAATAACAAATCATAATCATATACTTTTATTTGATAATAGTGATCAAGGTTCAGTTGATTCTGATTATACATCATTAGGTAGTTCGAAATTTTATGGTAATAGTGGTTCATCATCATCACTTCATCATCAAGGACGTTCACAATCATTTGATGAATTAGCATCAACAACAATTACAACAACAACAATACCAACAAGACATTTTAATGGTACATTAAATGTAAATAAATTAAATAATGATCCATTACAATTTGTTAAAATACATCCAAATCATGAATTAATTGAACGTGCACAAGAACAATTAACATTATTAGAATCAAGAAAACGTTTACAAGAAAATTTTAAATTAAATAATAATAATAATAATGATATTATTAATAATATAAAAATAAATAATTTAAATGATGATGATAATACTGATTGGTCAAAGGTAATTATTTTTATCACCTTAGTTCATATTAAAAAATGTCATTTAGTATATGATCTATAAAAAGAAAAAAAAAAAAAAGACAAGCGCTTGTATTTTTATCTTATAAACATAACTTCATTATATTCCATAAAAATTTCATGCATATATCTTAAATATTTCAAATCATATATATTTTTTTTCTCATTTATGCACGTCGAAGGATTTTTGAAGTCATGACAGTTTTCTTTAATTTGTCACAGTTAATTTCTTTCAATCAAAAATTTTTGACCTTCTTTTTTTTTTTTGAAGAAAAAAGAAAATCTAACAAAATGTTATTTATCTTTTATAATGATACATATATATAAAAAAATGTTAGAAATTTTTTTTATGATCTCATGTTCGTGAGAACTCAACACCAAGAGACATTTATCATCACATCTTATCTTTTCTGTTACACCTACATAGCTTCATTATTTTTTTTTCCTTTCTCTTTATGTGACACATACACATACATATATATTCGAATAGAAAAATGTCTAAGAAAATCGAACAAATATTTTTACTTAATTAAATTTGCCTGCTCTGATATATGCATATCAAACGGGAACAAGTAATAGGTGTTACCTAATCCATGATATTTGTATCTTGCGTCATCATGGTCATCATCATCATCATCATTCTCTTCTTTTTTTTTTTTTTTTCTTTTGTCTTTTTCTTTTTTCGCTTTTGGCAATCAACCAGTAAAATAAGTTGTTGTATTTGTAATAGAGATTAGTAAAGCTTGTATGCATGGAAGCCAACATGATATGCTTCGTTGCATTTATTTTAATCCATTTTCGAAAACAAAGTTTTTTATCCGATAAGAAAAATAATAACGGTCACAATAACATTACAACAAAAAAAGAAAAAAAGTTTGTAGTTTTTTTTTTTTGTTGTATCTTTTTTATTGTTATCAAAAGACGTTGCTCTTTCCGCGACGATGCCGTTCTCCTTGCGATTAATGTTGTTGTTTAAAGAGAAGAAGAGAAGTGAGAGAGAGAGAGGGAAAGGGAGAAAGAAGCAAGTCGCTTGTTGGTTTCTTATTCGAGATTGAATCAAAGACGTGTGTTCGCATAACTCGATTACTCTCTCTTGCTGTCTAAACAGTAAAGGAAGAAGAAGAAGAAGACGAAAAAAGAAAAAAGAGAGGTTACATTCTTTCTTCTTCGACAGTGTACACGGCGCACCTTGCTCAAATACAAAACAAAAAAAAGCCCGAAAATTGTAGTGGTGCAAGTATAGACGACGAACGACGAAGAAAAAAAAACGAAGATATACATACATACAAACGAATGGTTGCCTTACGGCATACATTCAATTATATGATGATGACTATGGATCGTTCTCATTCTTTTTTTCTATGTCTAATCGAAATCAATTAAATATACAATTCAATTCATATTAATTATCATGAAAGGTTTGACTACAACCGTAACACCAATACGAAAACCTTCTACAACTCCTACAACTAGTAGTATTGCTGCTTTTTCAGCAACACGTGTAAAACAAAATGATATCTACGAAGACTATTCTGAAGTATGTTGGTATTCTATTTAAAGTTCGTTTTCTTTTTCTTGAAATAGTATTTTTAAATAAGAAACAGTAGTCACATCTCTTATTACATAAATGTGTTTGATTTTCATTGTTACATCTTATCTTAGTTCAACATAGTAACGATTCTTCTTCTTCTTCTTTTTTTTGCTTGTTATAATTTTTCATAGAGAAATTAGAATTAATTTTAATACAAAAAAGGAAAAAGAAGACATTAATGTTTTTGAGCATAAACGAGTAATTGAATTTTTACGCGAAAAGAAAAAAGAAATCATAATTGATTTGTTATTCCGTTATTTTTAAAATTCTTTTTCATTGTTTCTCTTTTACTTTTCATCAATGGAATTTTCGATTTCTATTCTTAGGCTGTTGAAAATTGGCGTCAAAAACGTGAACAAAAACGTAAACAAAGTTCAAGTACAATTCGTACTGAAAATGAACCAACAACATCAAATATTGAACCTTCACTTCCTAGTCCTGTTAAAAAGTTTGTATTAATTTCATCATTGAAATATTTTTTTTATTTCAATAACTTATTATAGTTTTGATGTACCTGAAACAAAACCTAAATTACTTTCTACTCCTTTACCTCCGCCTCCACCGACTAATGTCTCACCATTATCTGTAACAACAAATATATCTACTGGACAATTATTCCTATCGAATCGAATTGAATCAAAAAGTCCAACACCTCCACGAAATAGAGTAAAAAAAAAAGAAAATTATAATAAAGATTTGTTTATTTTCATAGAAAATATTTTTTAGGGTCCAGGTAAAATTCATGAAATATTTATTCAAAAACCAGTTGAAATACGTGGTTTTGGTTTTAAACTTGATGGTGGTCCAGCACAAAATCGACCTATTTATATTTCAACACTTGAAGATGGTTTGAAAAATATATAATTATAGACACAAACAAAAATTCTTTTATTAAACTTCGTTTTTTTTTTGTTTTAGGTAGTCCTGCTGATAAAGCTGGATTATGTATTGATGATGAAGTTATATCCATGAATGATGAAAATATTCAAAATATGACATTTGATCAAGTACGAAAAATTCTTAAAGATCGAAATTTACGTGGAAGTATTAAAATGGTTGTTAAAACCTATGAAGGTAAAACCAGAAATGTGCTAGACTACATCATGTTTCACATTGATAATTCTGTAAGGATTATGTTAATAGATTTTTTTTTATTATTAGATATTATCGATGATAATTCTCAAACAGTTACAATTGAACATAGTCGGACACCATCACCACAAAAACCTGTATCTAATTTACAATCAAATATATCCGTACCTCCAATATCTACAACAACAAGTACAATAATCGTTTCATCAACGACTCCATCAAATGTTCAATCACCTGTTTATACATTTTTACCTAGTACTGCTCCTCCACCTCCACCACCACCTCCTCCTACTACTTCATCTATTTCAACATCTGATACAATTTCGAATATTCCTATTCAACAAATATCATCATCACCATTAAATATATTCGCACCAAAACCATTTCGTTCAACAGCTTCAATTAATCTTGATTCACCAAGAAATAATGAAACAGTAAGATTATTTTTATCCTAATGATTTCTTTCTATCATAACATAAAAATATACATTTTTGAAAGAAAAGAGTTGCTCATTTTTTTTTAAAATCACATACATTAGATGCATGACAATTAAATATTGTTGCTAAACAAAAAAAAGAGATTGTATAATAGATCTATAATTTTCTTTTGTTCCATTGATTAAAAAAAAATATTAATAACAACGCATGCATGGCTATTGTTTTGTGTTGTTCAGAATTTCACTCATTCATCGCCAATTGAAGCCTTTCGAAAGATGCTTGATCCATCGAACAGCATCAACAAATCTATGAAGAATGAGGTAGTCGAACATGTGTGATTAATAATAAAATATTAAACAACAAAAACTTTTTTTTATATCTATTTAACTGCACGTCTTCTATTTCAACAACTCAAACAAGTTTTTATTATATACATATATATTTAATGCACATAACAAAAAAAAAACATGTATACTAATCATCATCGCTCTTGGTGTTTGATGAATGACAGATTCTTTTTTTTTCTTGTTGCCTTACAATGCTCTTTGTTTGTTTTTTTCCATGACTAATTAATTTTTGCGGCGTGTTCGTTTTTTTTGTCTTATGAAATATTCGAATATGATTGTATTTGTTAATTTAATCATTTTGTCATACAATGAAAATTATCACAGATGAGTAGTCAATATGAACAAAATTTTTTGTTTAATTTATATTTCAATACGTTAGTGCATGTTTACTACATTAGAATTTCTATTCTTCTTCTTTAAAAAACAAATGAAAAGATTCGTTATTATTTAGTGTAGTTTTAAAAGTCATTTGATTTTATCATCTTGCTTGTTTTCTATAGGGAATATCTGTAGATTTCTCTGAATGTCGATATTATCTTTCTCGAGTATCTAATAAAGAATTCGATATTCTCCGGATTTAATTTAGAACTAAATTTAACATGTATTATCATGATCAAATACTTTCATTTAAATTGCTTTTTTGATCCATAGTGAGGTTCTTTCAATAGTGATTTGCACGATATACTAATGAATTCTTTCATGCATGAATGACTATTTCTGATATGTACTACTACTACTACTATTGCATCCTCTATATCTTTCTTTTTCTTATTTATTTCATATTATATTACATATCAATTTCATTGTTTTCTTTTTTTACAGACAACAGGTACTGTTGAACAACAATCATCAACTGTAACAAAATCAGCATCTCGAGGCGTAGTTAATACACGTACATTATCTTTTTTTTTCCTCATTATATTTTTTATCTGCGAAATTTCTTTTTTAGTTCTATCTAATCCAACATTAATTTCATCAAATATTATCGATTCACCATCATCTATAATAAATAATCCAAAACCACCACCACCACCATTAACATCAGTTGATACTTTATTACATGGTTCATCAAATTCTAATAATAATGATTCTCCTATTGCACAAGTACGAACATCAGTTGAGAAAAAAATGAGTCAATTACAACAAGAACTTTTACTTGGTTATCCTCATACACAAACATCACGAGTAAAATATATAAATTATTGTAAAAATTAATTTATTTTTCTTTATAAAAATCTTTCTTTATAGGAACAACGACCAATCAATATACCAATTGATTTAACGAAAGCTTCATTAACAAATTCTACAATAAAAACATCATCATCATCACCATCATTTTCACCTTCAATTCAACAACAAGATTCAAATGTTAATAATCATAATAATCGAACATATGGTGTAAAAATTACTCCATATGAAAATACAATTCATTATTTAGATTCACATAATCAACAACAATCATCAACATCACAATTATCTGATCGTACAGTTAATGAATTAAGAGTTAATTTATCTTCACCATCAACATTTCAACAACAACAAACTTCTCATCAATTAGATGAAAAAATTCCACAAC